ATGTGGCCTGCTGATCGTCTTGCCTCTGAATGGCTGCCATGTACCCCACCCTGTGCCACAGACAGAGTGAGACCCAAAGAGGAAGGAGACCCTGTCCTTACCTTCAAGAAGCTTTCAGTCTAGGAGAGGAAAGAAAGCATGTATTCAAAGAACTCTAATGTGACTTAACCAAGAGACAAATGCCCCACAAAAGAAGTACCCAAAAGTACCAGGAGAGGGCAGAAGAGGCCAGATCCCTTCTGACGGGAATGAGATGGGTTTCATTGAAGAAATGTCCTTGTAGCTGAAGAAAGGGGATCAAGGGAAGGAAACAAGCATTAATTAAGCACCTACTATGTTCTAGGCTCTATGCTAAGTGTTTTATAAAGATTATATCATTTCATCCTCACAACAACCCTGCAAAGCAGATTCTATTATTACCCTCATTTTACAGATGAGGAGACTGAGGCAGACAGATTGTGATTTGTTTAGTATTACATGGTTAGTGAGTGTCTGAAGGAGGATATAAACTCAGGTCTTCCTAACCCCAGATGCAGCCCTCTCTCTATCCACCATGCCAGCTAGCTGCCCCCAGAAGCTGAGCTTTGAAGGATGGCTAGAATTACAACAGGCAGAAATGCTGAAGAACACCATTGCCCTAGGGTATCCAAGCGAAGTTACAGATGTGACAAAGAAAGCAGCACACTTAAGGCAGGATGAATAGTCCTAAACACATTTCCCCGGAATATGGTAGCCTCTGGGAAAAGCCAGGATGCAGTTAATGGATAGGGGGGTTCAGTCAGGGTTCAGAAGGGGATGTGGAGAAATAAGAGTTCGATGATCCAAGACATGGGACCTGCAAGATCGAAAAGAAGGTGGTGAGACCCAAGAGGCAGATCCCATTTCAACATCTTTGCTAGTACAGGATTTCTCACTTACATTTCTATAGCACATGAATGTTTACAAACACCTCACACGCATCCTCTCCTTCTAACCTCCTGGTTGCCCTATGGGAGAGCCTCACAGCCCGATGGGGAAATAGAGACCCAGAAAAGAGAAGAAGCTTGCTTAAAGTATAAAAGACAAATTTGAAAACCAAGTCCTCCTTCCTTCCAGTCCGGTGCCCTGGTCATTCGAATGTAAGCTCCTCAAAGGCAAGGATTGCTTTTGATCTTTGTGGCCTCAGTGCTAACAGTGCCTGGCACATGGCAGGTTATTATTGCTGTCATTATAATGATTGTTATCATTATTACTGTTATTATTAGCTCACATTTATATAGTGCCTTAAGGTTTGTGAAACTCTTTACATTTATTATCTCACCCTGGGAGGTAGGTGCTGTTATTATCCCTATTTTATAGATGAGGAAACTGAGACAGAAAATTGAGTTACTTGACCAGGGTCCCATAGTTAGTATGAAGCAGAATTTGAACTTAGCTCTTCCTGACTCTGAGTTCAGTACTCAATCCACTGTGCCACCTAGCAACGATGTTTGTATTAAGATAGTCCCTGCTTTGCAATCATTTTTTAAAAAGTTTTTATTAACATTTTCTGTTTCTTACATCATCATAGTTATGCCAAGTAACCTTCCCCTTCCACCTCCCAGAGAACCATCTTATATGCCAAATAGTACTTTTTCATAAAGGGAAGAAGAAAAAGAAAAAAAAAGAAAAGTCCATACAACTTATTGATACATTGAAGGAATCTGAAAACATATGCCATGGTTAACATCTGTGCACCTCCCACCTCTACTAAGGGGTGGGTTGAGAGTGTCTTTTCATCTCTTCATTCAAGTCTTGCTTGATCTTTATAATTTTGTTACATTTACTTTTGATTTTTTTTAGTGTATGGCTGTCCTTTCCATTTGTATTATTGTAGTTACTGTATATATTGTTTTCATGGCAATGTTTACTTCATTCTGCATCAGTTCATATAGATCTTTCCATGTTTCTCTGTACTCATCACGTACATAATTTCTAATACAATCAAAAATTCCAATCTCTTACATTCATGTACCACAATTTGTTTAGCCATTCCCCAGTTGATAAACATCTATTTTGTTTCTAATGCTTAGCTATCACAAGAAGTGTGGCTATAAATATTTTGGAGCATGTGAGGACTTTTTTCTCGTTGATGGCTTTCTTATGGCATAAGTCTAGTAATGGAGTCTCTAGTTTAAAGGGTATGGACATTTTAGTTACTTTATTTGCATAATTCTGAATTGCTTTCCAAAATAGTGGCACCATTTCACAGTTCCACCAACAATATATTAGTGTGTGTATTCTTTCATAACCCCTTCAACATTGATTGTTGCCATCTTTTGTCATTTTTCCCAATTTGCAGGGTATGAGGTAAAACCTCAGGGTTGCTTTGATTTGCATTTCTCTTATTATTAGTGATTTGGAGCATTCTTTCATGTGATTATGAATATTTTTCAATTCTTCTTTTGAGAATTCTTTGCTTATATTCTTTGACCATTTCTCTATTGGGGAATGGCTATTAGTCGTATATATTATTAATAGTTAAGATATCTGGAATACCAAACCCTTATCAGAAAAATTTGGTACAAAGATTTTCTTCCCATTCACCCATTTCTCTTCTTAATTTAGATGCATAAATGTTGGTGGTATAATGGATAAGATGCCGATTTAGAGTCAGGATAACTTGAGTTCAAAGTCAACCTAAAACACTACTAGCTTCATGACCTTGTTTGCCTTAGTTTCTTCATATATAAAATGGGAATAATAATAGCACCTACCTCCCAGGGTTGTTGTGAGGATCAGTACTTAGTACAGTACTTGGCACATAGTAAGCACTATATAAATATTAGCTATTATCATTATCTGTTCAGAAGCCTTTCAATTTCAAGAAATCAAAGTTATCTATTTTATCTTTTGTAATTGCCTCAATCTCTTATTTGGTTAATAATACATCTCTTACTCATAGCTACGTTTCTTTTCTAATTTTTTATAGTATGATCTTTAATATTAAGATTACATATCCACTTAGAATGTAGTATGAAATGGGTTGTAAAATGTTGATCTAAGTCTGATCTCTACAGGACTGCTTTCCAGTTTTCCCAGCAGTTTTTATTACATAGAGAGTTTTTCCCTAGGTAACATGTTTTCCACTTTATCGATCAGTTGGGTTATTGAATTTCATCATTTCTGCTCCTTCCTTGTCTAGTCTGTTCAACTGATCTACCTCTCTATTTTTTAACCAAGATCAGATAGTTTTGATGACTGCAGTTTCATAATATAGTTTGAGGTCTGTAAGTGCTATTTCCCTTTGTCTCTAGTTCTTTTCATAATTTTTCCTGGATATTTGAGATCTTCTGTTTTTCCAAATGAATTTTGTTACTATTTTATCCATTTTTGTAAAGTATCCCTTTGGCAATTTGGTTGGTATAGAATTAAGAGTGGAAATTAATTTTGGCAACATTGTCATTTTTATTATATTGGCACAGCCAATTAGCACTAAGGAACACTTTATAAATGAATCTGTTTGAGTCTTTTGTGTACTTTAGGAGGTCAGTCTCTAGATATTTTGTGCATATTTATTTGGAATGGGGCTTCCCTTTCTATTATTGTTTCTTGTGTTTCGTCATTATTATGTAGAACTTCTGTTGATTTTTGAGGATTTATTTTGTAGCCTGAAACTGCCAAAGTTATTGTATCAATTTGTATCTTTACTGGTCCCCTAGGATTTTCAAAGTAAACCATCATATCATCAGCAGATAGAGACAGTTTAAGATCTCCTCTTTACATGTCTTTATTCTTTTAGTTTTTTTCTCTTGTCTTACTGCTATTGCTAACATTTTCAGAAGTAAATCAAATAATATTAATGAGTTTTTTCCATAAGTTTCATGTGGTGCTGAGAAATATGTATATTTTACCATACCATTTAGAAGGCATAATAATTTTTTTCACTGTAGTTTCTCCAGCAATTCATTCAGTTCCATATTTTCTCTTTTGTTTATCTTTCTGTTAGACATCCAAAACTGAGAGAGGGATATTGAAGCCTCTTGTCACTATTGTGTTACTGTCTATTTCTTTTTGAAGCTAAGATGATGTTTCCTTTATGAATTTGGATTCTAAGGCATTTGAAGCTTATAAGTTTATTACTGATATTGGTTTGTTGTCTATAGTTCCTTTCAGCATAGTACAGTTTCCTTATTTGTTCCTTTTTATTTTTTCAGCATTTGTTTTTGCTTGGTCAGATAGCATGATTTCAAATCTTCTTATTTTGGATTCTCTTGATGTAGAATAATTTTTCTCATCCTCTCAGTTTTATTTTGTTTGTCTTTGTTTTTTTTTTATTTGTTTCTTGTAAGCAAACAATTGTAGGGCTTTGTTTTACTGTCCAATCTGTCATTCTTTTTTTGTTTTATTGGATTGCTTAATCCATTCACATCTAAAGTTATGAGTTACTTTTATATTTTGCTCCATCTATCTCTAATGTTGAGTTTTTTCAAGTTATGATTTTTCCCTCTTTTTTTGTAAACATAGCATTCTGGCTTTTCAATAACTTTAGTCTCTTTTTTAAGTTGGCAGGGCTCCTCCCTGCTCATATCGCTGATTATGCAACCCCCTGCTGAGCTCCACACCCTCTCCTGGTTACCTTTTTTCCCCCCATGTTTGCCTCAAAATCTCTTCCCTTTGTCTATAGTCCTTCACTCTCCTGGATGTCCATTGTCCCCTAGGGTTTCAAGTGCCCTATTCCAATATAAAACAAGTAGACTTTTCAAGCACCAAATTCTCCAGGGGTAAGGTCCCCACATCCCTACATGGATCATCTTTCTTCACCTGTAGGAGCGTTTATCAATGGACCATCCCCCCATCACATCCTCTTCATCCACTCCCCTGTAGGTTTTTTTCTTTCTGAGACCACAGAGGTCACCTCCCCCTCATTAATAGACCATGATTTGACCCCAGCACATCACATATTCCTCTCCCCCTTCTCCTGCTTCATGTACCCTCCCAAGTTGTAATATAACCCCCCCCAAAAAAGACCACAGATTTACCTGTAACTTCCATGTCCTGTTTCACCTCTGTCTCATTGTGTATATTTAAAAAGCAGTCTCTTAATGGTCTCTGCTCTCACTCTGTTGCTATGGTTGTCCTTGCTCATTGAATTTATTTACAATGCCTGCATTTCTGCTGTTTAAAGTGTTGAGAATCAAATAGCCTCTTCAGTTCTGTTTTTCTTGCTAAAAAAAGTTTCAATTTCTTTGTTGTTATTGAACATCCATCTTCTTGCCTGTATAGTTAAGCTCAGATTTGAAAGAGAGGTCGCCCTGGGTTGTGTCCTTAGATCCTTTGCTCTTTGGAGCAAACACATTATTCCATTCCCACCTCCCTTGTCTAGTGAGTGCAAAATAGTCTTACATTATTCAAATGCCCTTTCCTTTGTATTTGAAAGTCTTTCTCCTGAACACTTGCAGACTTTATTGTTTCTGAATTGAATTCTTCTGATTTCCTTCATTACTTTGTTAAAGTTTTTGTCTTGTCACAAGCTTCTGGGAGATCTATTGTCCTTAAGTTATCTCCAAACAACCTTTCTTCAAGATCAGTATGTTTTGCTTACAGATTAAGCATATTTACTTTTACTGTTATCATTTTGCTTCTCTTCTAAACTTCATTTTGGGGTATTTGCACTCCCAGTCTGTTGTTCTCTCTTTTGTTTCTTTGGTGAGATTGCTTTCACAAATTCGAATTTTTCTGTTCTGTCCATCATTCTTGCTGTGCAGGCCATAAATTCTGCTCTTGTAATTCTCATTTCTCTTTTGTACCACTGAGGAACAGTAAGTTCCATGTTGTCCTCAAATTCCACAGAATCTTCTGTCTCACCAAGTGTTGGATCATTTTCCTTCGTTTCACAATAGTTATTCACAGATGTTTGTACTCATTTACTAGATCTGGAGGCCATATTTCCTTCAGCTGTTATTGTTTTTCCTGTTGACTTATCAGTTTATATTCAACATTTTTGAGTTTTTTTCTTCCTGAAATCTTTAGTAATTTCAGTCCTCCCCTTCCCCCTTATTTTCACTATCATGCACTTTTTGACCCCCTCTTGTCTGATTGTGATTTCCTTAGGAGCTGGATCTCAAAGCATCTCAGCCTTCCAATACTGAGAAATTCACAGGTCACCAGACTATATGTCTGCCTCAGGTGACTTAGGTGGTCAGAACTGGCCTCCCACTGGATGCTTTGTTCTCTTCCTCAGGTTCAGAGGAGGGCTGAACACTCTTCCCCTCCACTGCCCCACAGGACACTGTCCGAGTACCCTATACCTTTCTCTCTGTTTATTAGTTCTTTGACCCAGAAATGGCAATTCAGTGCTTCCCAGCACCGTTGCTACAGGATTGTCTGCACCAATCCTGCTCTTCTGCTGTACAGGATTGCTGTAGTTCAGAGCTCTCCAGTGCCTGGCACATAATAGGGCTATATACATATTAATCATCACCTAACCTCCTCGGGACTCTGTTTCCTCATCTGTAAAATGAGGAGATTGTACCAGATGACCTCTGAGGTTTTCTTTAATTCTCGATGCTATGACTCTAAGTTCCTCAACCTCCCTGGGCTCCTGAGAGACTACAGTCACATAGCTGTCTACCGCAGCCAAAGCAAATTTCTGTAGCCTGGAGCCAGGGTCTCCATGGTGCTCGAAAGAGAGAGGAAGGACCTGAGTGTGGGGGTAGATTTTGTCGAAAGCCTGTTGTATTCTTGGGTCTGCTAATGCAGCTGGTAGTGTGGGAGGTCGGGAGGGAGTGCTCAGAGAGCTGAGGATCAATGAGCATGGGTTCATGGGAAGATGTGGGGCAGAATGACGGGTCCCATGCCCTCCTTCTCAACCATGTGCACTACCTGCCACCTAGCAGATGCTTAATAAATGCTTGTTGAATTAAAGCGTTGTGCTAGGTACCAGAGATCCAAAGACAAGGAAGAAACAGCCCGTACCCTTACGAAGATGACCTTTTGCTGAGAGAATACAACATGTATAACCGAGGCTCAGTCCAGAAAAATAGAACAGAACCAAATTGTTTTTCCTTAATCTGCATGTGTGGTAGCCCCCCTGGCCCAACTCCAGCATAAGCTCTTTGAGGGCAGGGCCTATGTCATTTTTATCTTTGTGCCCAGAACAGTGTCTGCACATGATAGACACCTAATAGATGGTTGTAAGTTGATTGATTTGTATCCCCACACCCCACAAATGGCTGCCCCTGGAGGGCAGGATTTGTCTCACTTGTTCTTGTATCCCCATTATGAGAGTGCATCTGGACCTTTGCTCTGGGATGTTGAACAAGCCGAGGGACAGTAGACGCCCGCTGCCAAGGCAACACCTGCAGCCAGCCCCCACTGTGGGCTGTCTGAAGATTCCCCACAGTCACACACAAGCACCTCCCTCAGCCTCATTTTAGAAAAAGTGAACTCCAGGCACAGAGCAGGAGGTCCACACTCATCTCCTCCAGGAGCTTTCCTCTGGTTCCAGCCTCAGCCCAAAAAGCAGAGAGATGTCTGGGTACCTTGCTCTCCTCTTAGCTGCTGCCCTGGTTCCTGGTAAGTTGTCTTCCCTGGTGCTCTGGGAAGTTTGGGAAGAGCTGTTCCTGGCTTCTAGCTTGTCACCAACTTCTTTCTGCCCTCCCTGCAGCTGGCCAGACTGCCATGGTCCTGAAGCAGGGGGTTATCTCCATGATCCGAAACACAGGAGGGTCTGCCACCTTGACCTGCGAGATTTTCAGCCCCACGTTCGACAATATCCACTGGTACCGTTACCAGGAGGGGAAGGCCCCGGAGCGTCTGGTGCGCTACTCCATGAAGAAGTCTGAGTCCGTACTGGACACGGGATTCAGCGCCAACAAAATCAGGGCTTTTAAGGTGAAGGACACCAGCTGCAGACTAATACTGAGTAATCTACAGATCAGTGACTCTGGAATGTATCACTGTGCCAGCTGGGACGGACCACAGTGGCACAGGCTGCCACAGTTCCTGAGTAAAACATGTCACCTGAAGTAGCTGACATTCTACTCAGGAACACTAGCCTTCATTCAGGACAGGCTGAACACCTTCATTTGGACTAAGATAACCCTAAGCCCCAGAAACTTCTTCAACTCTGAACCCCAAGCCCAGGAACTTTGGCCAAGATATTTGAGAACACAAATCTTTCAGAGGTCAGTAGAACCCAACTCATTCCTCTGCCTAGAACAGACACAGCACTGGCTCTGAATCAGAGCACTTGAGTTCAAATCTAGCCTCTAATACTTACTACCTGTGTAAGGGAAGCAGGCAGGTAGTCCAGTGGATGGAGTGCTGGGCCTGGAGTCAGGAAGACCTGAGTTCAAATCTGGCCTTAGACGCTTACTAGCTGGGTTATCCAGGAAAAGTTACTTAACCTGTGTTTGCCTCAGTTTCCTAAAATAGGAATAATAGCACCTCCCTCCCAGGTTGTTGTGAGGATCAAATTAGATAATAATTGCAAAGTGCTTAGCACAGTGCCTGGCACATAGTAGGTGCTATATAAATATTAATCATTAATCATCACCTAACCTCCCCGGGACTCTGTTTCCTCGTCTGTAAAATGAGGAGATTGTACCAGATGGCCTTTGAGGTTTTCTCTAGCTCTCAATCCTATGACTCTAAGTTACTCAACCTCCCTGGGTCTCTGTTTCCTCCTGTGTAAAAGGAGGAGGTTGAAACTAGAAAAACTAATATTATCAAATATTTATGTAATGTTTCTAATATATTATCTTATTACATCCTCAAAATACCCCTGGGAGGTTTGTGCTGTACTTATCCCTGTTCAGTCTGGAGTAGAGATAAGTCAAGTGATTTGCACGCAGGGTCACAGAACGAGTAAGTATCTGATTTGAACTCAGGTTTTCCTGACTTAAAGTCTAGCTGTCCCAGATGAGTTCTGGGGTCCCTTCCAACTCTAAGACTCAGATCCTGGGATCTTGAACTTCTCCAAAGAGGAGGCCAGGGAGGGGCTATTACTTTAGATATGTCTTTTTCTATGTTCTCTCTCCCTGGTAAGACCCAACGCTCAAAGGTGACTTGTTCACCACCCACATCGAGAGTGTTTGCTTGACTCTGTCCAGTGTTACATGGGCACTAGAAGTTCAAGATGGAAATGATTTCTGCAAAGGCCCTTTTTCTCTCATTTTCCCACTAACTGCTAAGCACCAAATGCTTTTGAAGGCTAGTTCACATGCCACCTTTTCCAATATGTCCTCCTGATCCCTTCTATAAGTAATGATCTCCCCTTGACTCACATGGCACATTGCTCTGCACCTCTCAAATTCACTTGGCGTATAATATGATAAGTTACAGTTATCTATGAGTAGAAGACTATGGCTACGTGTTCCCAGAGACAACATCTACATCTCACAGAATGGGTGCTAACACTCTTCCCCATGATTTGGGTCCAAAGTCACTCAATAATATGGCTTCTGATCCCCCACCAATGCTTTTGCCTTTAGTAGTCAGCCAGGGGACAAAATTAGTTCAAAGAAAAGGACATGTGATGAAATATCATAAGGAAATCACAATAAACATTCCCCCCCAAAATATTCTTGGGCACTGTATGCCACAAATGCATATACTGTTAGTGGGAAGAGAGAAGACCAGATAGGGAACACACGTGGCCCAGGAACACTATGTGGAGCCAGGGCACAATCATGGCATCCCGTGCCTCCACGACTGCAAAGTCACTGTTATCTTCTGATGATGTCATCACATGGCTCCCACTGGATTTGATTCTTGCTGGTCTCTACTAGACCCATTGTCTTCACCAGATGTAACTGCAATGAATGTGTCGTCTCTAAGAGAAGCGTGCTACATCCTCCTCGTGAGAAGAGCGAACTCTTCCATGCTCTTTTAGTTTAAAGCATTGAAGCTTTCCATAACACCCCACTCCCAACAGACCCTCCAGAGAGCTCAGAGAATCATCCTTGTATTTCAAGGCCCGCAAGAGGAGCAGACGCGAAGGGCAGGAATCACCCTTTTAGTATATCCAGAGTTCCATAACATAGCCAATTAAAATAGCTTTTATCACCACACAATATGAAGTCCATCATGCCTAACCTGAAGAAGTCAGAGGACATCTATAACTGCTCTAAGTTGGAGGAAGAGTGTCTGAATCATGCAGCTGCGAAGGAGACCCAGCCCAAGCTTCTAGGCACCTAACTGAGCATATTTTAAGGCTGAGGTGAGTGTGTGTGGAGAGGGGCATTACACTTGTCCTTCTAAAAAGTGGCATCCAAAACTGAATGCAATACCCCCAAAGTGGTCTATGAATGAATGAATGAATAACAACACATTTATGAAGAGTTTTCTATGTGTCAGGCACTGTGCTAAGTACTGGGGAAATAAATATAAAAGTCAAAACAGTCCCTACTCTCGAACTCATGGCACTTGAATTCTAATAGGAGAGGACAACACATAAGGAAGTGCTAGACAGGGAGGTGTGTTTTTGACTAGAAATCATGGAAATGGTGAGAGGGGTCATAGGGCAACTGACAGGCATGAACTTTCTAGGAATATTAGTGCCAATTTGATTACTATTCTAAGGGATATAAGTGTGTATGTGTGTGAGAGAGAGACAGAGAGAGAGAGAGAGAGAGAGAAAGGGAGAGAGGGAGGGAGGGAGGGAGGGAGGACACAGGGGTGAAAGCAAGTCGTGAGAATGTCCACAGAGATACTGGAGATGCATAGGGAGACACACAGAGAGAAACACATGGCATTTGCTGTTCGTTACACTAAGCGCTGGAGGAGGCAGAAGCCGACAGAGCCTTTCCCTTCTTAAAGGTGGATTCTATTTCTCCCTCAATGCTGCGTAAGTCCAAATGACCTTTTTTGGCTACCATATTAACTCATATTCAGGGGACCTTTGGACACCAAAAGTCCCAAACCATTTCCAGAAAAACAGCTATCTCACCATAGTTTTTATACTTGTGAAGTTTATTGTTTATACCCAAGTATAATAATTTGTTTATCTCCATTCAGTTTCATCGTATTCAATTAAGCCCAACATGTTAGCCTCCTATGAAGCTATTGAATCCTGATCCTGTCCTCCAGTGTGTTAGCTTTCCCTTCAAGCTCTAGGTCATCTTCAGACTTAATCAGCAAATCCTTTATACCTTTATATGTCATTGATAAAAATATTAAACAGCATTGAGCCATACACAAGGCCCTAGGGAACTCCACTGATGACTTTCTTCCAAGGTACTATTGAATTGTTAGTGGCTGGCTACTCTTTGTGCCTGACCATTCAGCCAATGTTGTATTCATCTGTCTATATAATATATCTGAATATTCAATAGTCTAGTCTACAGCTCCCCATCTTACCCACAAGAATAATATGAAATCTTTTACCAAATAATTTCTGAAAATCTGGGTAAATTATAGCTACAGAATGGCCCTGTCCTACTCATTTAGTGACTTTGTCAGAAATGGGGATAAAGTTCATTTGGCATGATCTATTCTTGATGAGGCATTGAGGTAGTCCAGTGGATAGAGTGCTGGGTTTGGAGTCAAGCAAGATGACTTGAGTGTAAATCTCGCATCTTAAATTTAAGGCTGTGTGACCATAGGCAAGTAATTTAACTTCGTCCAGGCCCAGTTTCCTCATCTGAAAATGTGGGTAAGAATGGCCCCTACCTCATCAGATCATTGTGATAACAGATGAGATAACACGTGTAGAGTGCTTTGACCACCTTGGACAGTTATAGAAATACAAGCTCTGGAACTGCCTGGCTTCTTTTAATCATCACTTCCTTTCCTAGATGCCCATTTACCACAGCTTTAAAAAGACATTCTAGAATTTTATCAGTAATTGAAGTAAAGAGCACTGGCCAATAATCTGTAGGTTACATTCTCCGCTATTTTTTTAAAATTGGCACCACCTTTGCCCTTCTCTGATTTGGTAGGACTTCTCTTTTTCTCCATGATTTTTCAAAGATCACCGTCAGTGACTACTCCATCATATCTGATAGTGCTTTCAGTACTCAAGATGATAGATTCATCAAGAATAGCTAGGCATCTTTCATTACCTTCCTACCTCTCAACAGAAGCAATTCCCTATTATTTCTTTGTGTTGTCTCCTTTTCTGCTCCAGGTTCATTCTCACTGGCAGAGAAAACACAAAGAAAATAACAACTGTACAACTGTGCCTTCAACTTCATCAGTTATTATCATGCAAGTCACTCTAAATAGGGTTCTTATTTATTCTTTGATCATCCTCATTTCCCCAGTATAGCTCCTTTAAAAATCAATTTGTAATCCTTATCTTTCTTTCCTCAACAGCCTTACTCCATTCTCAGCTTTAGCACCTCAAAGCATTTTCTAAAGATCATGCCACATTTCTTTCATTAATTTTCTATTATCTACACTTGCTTTTATCCTCTGTGCATGTCTTACAAAAATCTAAACTGGTTAATGAGTTCCCTGTGTATCCACATTGGTCTCTTTCAACAACTACCATTTTACCTCCTCACTGGAATTTTTTCTCCTTGTGTCTTCAAATCTTCACTCTAGGGAGTTTCCTATTTCTTCTAGATAACCATCCCAGCAGAATTCTGGGACCTGGGACCTTTCTATGTATTTTTTGCATCCGTGAAGTCTTCTCTCCCAATATCTAGGGCATACAGCCTACTATGCCCGTTTTTCCTCTTTTTCTGTATCACAAACTCTAAGATGGAGTAATCATTTGCAATTATTTTCACCCCACAAACCATTTTAGCAACAATAACAATAAACAATGACATAAAATACCATCATTTATGAAAAGCTCACTATGAGCAGGACACTGAGCTAAGCACATAGGATATGGAGACATAGAAGAGGTGTTTGCTAAGTGTGTTTCAGCCATTATCCAATTTGACCCTTGCAAAATGTGGTAGGTGAAGAGGTTTAGCTACAATTCCCAGAAAAACCTTAAAACTTTTAGATGCCTTGTAGACTCAC